AACGGGTGACTTTCAGAGATTGAAGATGGAAACGCTAGCAGGAATAGATTAAGTAAGCCTTATCTAAAGCTTAGGATATAAAGAAAGGGAAAACCTGATGGTAACCTTTGTTACGGTGAAGTGTCCGGTTGACCGTGAGACGCTCGTCCCGTTCCCAACTCCATATCGCCCATCCATCTTCTTCCTCTGAACGTCGTTCGTACCCTTGAAATTCTCGAATTAGACTTGATTTGTAGGTACTCAGCTGAATAACAATTGCGCTTTCATCGAAAGGAACACATTAATTCATCAAATTCTCTAATTTATTTAGCGATATTTTGTATGAATTCTTCCATTTTACATTCAGTTTCATGGTTTATCAAAAATTGGTTGAGAAAAACTTTATGAAAGATGAAGAATGGTGAATAAAAACCATTCCAACACGAAAAACGAAACGTGCATCTGAATCCCATCAGAAAACGCACGTAACCGCACGCGGCACATCTGAATTGCGAAAGTCAGATTCCTATTGTGCACGTCTACACGAACATTCGAGAGTGTTAAGAGTGCGAGAGAGTATGAGAAGTTGAGAGGGTGTTGTCTAACCATTATCATTACATTCAGTGAAATATAATTTGATCGATGTGGTGACAGTGATTGAAAGATGAACTTAATGGTTGATGTTTGAATGAAATGATTACTTCGAGCTGTGGTTCTATTGAGAAATGCTAATCGGTATGGATGTATTGAATTGTTTAGGGGAATGAAAAATTAAGGATATAAAGCAAGAAAAATTAAGAATATAAAGCAGTACTTATGCAGTTTGGATAACGCTCGAGAGTACTGTGATCGTGCAGATCAATGTGTCCGTCCTTNATGATGACATGCAAGGAAGCTGAGCTCTCAGGAATCAGATCGTTCAAATGTGACGCATGAGATCATCATATTCAATAATGCTTCAGCAAGAAATCATGTTCTATAAGGCATATATGGTGAATTAGCACACAGCTGTTCGAACACAGCTCACGTGGTCAAGTAAGCATCTGTGTTATTGATAGTTACTGCTTCTGCTATTATTGTTTGATTAAATTTCGAACATTTCAGGAAATTAAAAGTCCTGCATTTCAAAGTAAACCTCTTCTTTATGTTACAGTGCAGTGTTTTTATGTTAAGAGTGCATCGTTTTCTTTTCGCACTATAGAGATGTAAAAGATTTTTCGCATCACTGCAGATCGCTGTTCTCTTGTATTTTTAATGTAAATTGTAGGATAATCGTCCAATTTGTAAGAATTTATTTGATGAAAGGAATGTAAACTGATAACATACACATTCAGAACAACAATAATTTCTGACATGAATAAGAAATTTAACAGAGTTTACAAACAAATGAAGATATCGTTTATATGAAGAAAGCTGGGTTAAGACTCTGAAAATCCGAAACACTCTGCAAACGCACTCGCCAGTTCATCATCGATACCAATATTTCCGGATGACTGACCAGAATCGTCAGCTTTCTTTTCACCTGATGCGGAAGTCTTTTCAGAACCTGCCCATTCAGTGATGTTTATGTCGATGATTCGATCAGTCAACCGAGTCAAATCTTCTTCTGATTCTGCTTTACATAACTGCTGTGTCCTACGCAATT